AAGTGTCACCACACTAAAAACAAGCTCTCGGAGAACGTGGTTGCTGTGACTGGCTCGAGCCTGATCAACTGGACTGACCGCTGGAAGCACCCCGTACAAGAGGTACACTAAACACTAGCAGTGCATAATAAGGATCTTGGGGACTAGGAATAGCCGGAGTACTGCTAACGGCAGTAAGTGCTGAATGAACAAGACGACTCTCATAACCCCTACCCTGACGAGCTGTAGATAGGGCACGAGAATTGTTATATGTGCCAAAATCTCGGGGTCTCTTAGTTTCCCTCTCCTCTCTCTCCCGGATTCGCATACCCTCCAATCTCTTAGCATTAGACACCACCTGCTGGTATGTGATGTCCATCTCCAACTCTCGGGCCATACTAAATCTGATACTAGTGTGGAGCCACTCAATAAATCAGCGAAACCGCTCCCTAACAGTAGCAACCAAGGCTGGTGCATGCCTAGCTAAATCATTGAATCGGACCGCATACTATGACACGGTCATAGAACCCTAGCACAACTGCTCAAACTCTGCGCGCCATGCATCTCTAAGACTCTGAGGAACATACTCCCTGAAGAACATATCTAAAAACTGAGTCCAAGTGAGTAAAGTTGCCTCAGCCGGACTATCTAACTCGTATGCTCGCCACCACTGGTAGGCCGCTCCTCTAAGATAGAATGCCGTGAAAAAAACCCCATTGGAATCCACAATACCCATAGTACGGAGGATATAGAGACATTCCTCAAACAAATCGCTGAAAGTGGGAGGGTGGTACTTCTTGTACCTCTCGAGCCTGAGTTGCTCCCCCTCCGAAACTGCTGCCCTAGCCTCGGGCCGAACTGGGATAACTGGTTGTACTGGTATAACCTCTGGAGCATGGTCAACCTAGGCCCGTGACTCTGGGGTATGGGCGGCAGGAGTCTGTGCTCCTCTATCGGCCTGAGATGTAGCAGGAGCAAGTGGAATCAACCATGCCTGAGCTAGAGTGCCGAACATGCTAAAAAACTGGGCAAGAGTCTCCTGAAGTGTAGGGGTAGTAACAGGCGTCTCAGGTACCTGCTCTCCAACTGGATCTACTAGTAGCTCTGCTGCAGTAGCTCGTGCAGGTGCTCTGGCTGCATCACGTGGTCTTCCTCGGCCTCTGGTTCGGCCTCTGCCCCGGCCCCGGCCTTTTGCGGCTCCAATAGGGGGCGTGGGTGTTTGATCATTAGATCTAGTTGTTCGTGTCCTCACCATCTGTGAGAGAATAGAAAGACAATGGTTTAGAACTTCGAAGTCAACAAATGCACACGATGAGGAATCAAAGAAGTGAATATTTTCCTAACAGTTCCATAGCCTCCCGAAGATAAGTACAGACGTCTCCCTACCGATCCGCGAGACTCTACTAAACCTGCTTGTGACTCATAATACCTATGAACCTAGAGCTCTGATATCAACTTGTCACGACCCTAATTTACCCTCCATAGGATGTCGTGATGGTAACTAGTCTCTAAGACTAGGTAAGCCTAACAAATTTTGGAATAACATACTAAGAGTCTGAAACTCAAACCTCAATAGTTGTAATAAATGGAAACTGCAAGTCAAAGAACTAAAATCTCTCAAAATTCGGTAGAAACAAGTCACAAGCTTCTAAGAGAAATACTAATTGTCTTTATACATCAAAGCCTACTAAATTAAGGAAAATAACATGATAAAGATAGAGGGGGACTCCGAGGTCCGCGGACGCTGGCAGATGTACCTTGAAATCTCCGCACACAGGTAGCTCACTGATATCCAGACTGGTAAGCGGTACCTAATTCTGCACAAAAAGATATGCAGAAGAGTAGCATGAGTACACCACAACGGTACCCAGTAAGTGTCAAGCCTAACCTCGGTAGAGTAGTGACGAGGTCAGGTCAGGCCCTACTGAAAATAATAGAAAAATATGACAGAGGATATAATAGTATAATGAAATGACTGAAGAGAGAGCAACACAACAAAAAATAGGTAAACAATAGGGGGCGCTCCCGAGATACCGTCTCGTAGTCCCAAAAGTAAATGCTCAATATGGGATCTCCCGAGATACCGTCTCGTAGTCCCAAAAGTAAATATGCAAGGGGATCTCCCGAGGTACCGCCTCGTAGTCCCAAAGTAAATATGCAGTACAGGGAGATCTCTAGAGAAACTGCCTTGTAGTCCCAAAATAAATATGCAGTACATGGGGATCTCCCGAGGAACCGTCTCGTAGTCCCAAAATAAATATGCAGCAGGTAATCGGAGAAACAACAAATTTTCAGCAAGAAATCTTACAGTTAAAGATTTAAATCGAATCGAGGAAAACAGGTAATTCAGCTAAGCATGTTGCACATATTGCAAGTAAGAGTTAAGGCACGTAGACATGTGATACTAGGCTAATCATGATCACTACATATACTAAGGCAACTCAGTTAAAGAATTTAAAAGAAGATTACTCAGCAAGAATCAATATTTCCAAATTTAGCCCGTGTACGCACTCGTCACCTCATATACACAGCGCTCACATATCACAAATGTTACAACAATATCAAATCCTAGGAGAATTTCCCCCACACAGGATTAGACAAGCCACTTACCTCGAATCACGTTCAATCAGTCAAGTAGAATGCCTTTCCCTCAATTTTCTGACTCCGATCGGCTCGAATCTAGTCATAATTAATTCGATTCAGTTAATACAAATTATAGGAATAATTTCCATATGAAAATATAAATTTTCTAACAAAATTCGAAATTTAACTCAAAATTCGCCCATGGGACCAACGTCTTGGAACCTGACAAAAGTTATAAAATTTGAAATCCCATTCAATCACGAGTCTAACCATACCAATTTTACCAAAATCTGACCTCAACTCGACCTCCAAATCTTCAAATCTTATTTTTAAATCCCTAAGTTCAAATTCCCGATTCACCTCAAAAACACATAATCTAGTAGGAGTATTTGATGATAATTCAATATTATGGAGTAGAAATGATCACAAGTGACTTTTCTCAAGAATTCCCGTGAATACCTCGCTCAAAATCGCCTAGCCCGAACTTGAAATGCCCAAAAATGGCAAAAACTCGGAACCCTCTATTTTTGTACTGTCCAGGTGTTTCCGCTTCTGCGAGATTTTACCCGCATATGCGGTCTCAAAGATGCGAGAATTCCTTCGCTTCTGCAGACAAGAAGTCCGCTTATGCGAGAAGCTGTCCGCTTATGCGAAGCCGCCTGGCCCTCCTTATATTCGCTTCTGCGATCGAACCTTCGCAGGTGCAACGCCACTTATGCGGACCACCCGTCCGCACGTGCGACCACTGCCTCACCAGCCCCTCGTCCGCTTCTTCGCTTGCCATGCTCGCCTCTGCGAGCTCGCACCTGCGAGCCAATTTTCGCAGGTGCGATTGCATCAGATGGCAGAAACTTTCAGATTTTCTTCTAAGTCCGAATTCGATCCGTTAACCATCCAAAACTCTCCAGAGTCCCCCCCAGGACCTCAACCAAATATACCAACAAGTCCTAAAACATCATACGAATTTAGTCGAGTCTTCAAATCATATCAAACAACAATTAAACCACGAATCATACCCCATTTCATGCCTAATAAACTTAATAATTTTTAACTTCTACATTCGATGTCGAAACCTATCAAATCAAGTCCGATTGACCTCAAATTTTGCACATAAGTCATAAATGACATAACAGACCTATTTAAATTTTCAGAATCGGATTCCGATCCCGACATCAAATTGTCAACTCACCGATCAAACTTCCAAACTCAAATTTCTACTTTAGCCATTTCAAACCTAATTTAACTATGGACCTCCAAATAATTTTTCGAACACACTCCTAAGTCCAAAATTACCATACGGAGCTATTGAAATCATCAAAATTCTATTCCGGGGTCGTTTACACATATGTCGATATCCAACCAACCTTTTTAACTTAAGTTTTAGACCTTGGAACTAAATATTCCAATTCATTCCAAGACCTCACCGGACCAGAACCAATTACCCCGACAAGTCATATAACAATTATAAAATATAAATTGAGCAATAATTGAGAAAACAGAGTTGTAATACTCGAAACGACCGACTGGGTCGTTACAACTTTTTTCTCATATAATTTGCTGTGTGTGAGCACAAAATCACACATAAACAAAACAAAACAATGTGAAGATCCGATTTGAGTTCAGGAAATAAAAAAAATTATAATAAGAAATGCTTTCTCTTTTAATGGATCTTATGAATCCAGATTAGTCGGAGCTCAAAAGCGAGTGTGGAATATTGAGTGAGAAATAAATAAAAAAAAAGGAAAAAGGAATCAAATTTGCCATTGCACTTAACTAAATGACTCACATATACCACTCGTTAATTGTTGATGTCATTTATGCCCTTGCAGTTACGAGAGTGGCTCATATATGCTCTTATTGACTAACGGTCAACTACTAAATGCTTATGAATCACTAATAGTAAAGGTATTTAGTAGTGTGAGCACCTAATGTTTTCCCTAATGCAAATCACTCCTAAAAAAAAATTCTAAAATAGTTTTCTTTAATTACTTCATAGAATTGTAGGAATTTTTCTTCATTTTTATCCAATCTGTTTTGCATTTTGTTTGCATTGTTCATACATGTTTAGAAGTATTTTAAAACCATAGAAAATCATAAAAAATGTTTGATTCTTCATCTCATAGCATTTTAGATCTTAATTGTATTTAGGATTTAATTACGTTAATTAAGTGCATTATCAAATGAAAGGTCACAAAAAATAATATACACGTTGCATCATTTAGTTTCTTTAATGTGTCAAATGTTAATTAGTAGGTAGAATAATTAATTAAGGTAATTTGGCAAGATTAGATTTGAATTAATTTATGTGGTAATATATGGATTTAAAAGCAAAGAAAAGCTGTTGGGCCAAGCCATGAGGCCCAAATATTTCGATTAATCTGCCCCAGCCCAAGCCCATATGCCTAAAACCCTCACACTCATATACACTCTCCCTCCTTAACTGAAGAACTCGATCTTCCCCTGACCCCAGAAAACCCTAGCCGCCCCAATTAGAAAAAGGCTCTCAAATTCCTCACACACATGCCCTCATGATCCGATTTTTGAACACAATCTCAGAGAACAATTAAAAGTGGGGAAATCGAAAAAAAAAGAAGAAGATAGAAACACACAAAAGCTTCAAAAGAAAAACAGAAGAAAATTGAAGGAAAAGAGAATTTGGTAGGCTCTTCCGATTTATGCTGCATTACTTCTACAACTTCTGGGTGTTCGAGTTTGATTTTGGACTCAGAAGTTGAGGCTGCGTTTTGTTGAATCTGCTTCTGCTGGGTTCCGGCGTTCTCTCCTCCAGCCTTCATTTGGCTCTTCTAAGTTTGTTTTCACAGCTGTTGAGGTATTTATCTCAATTCAAAAATGTAATTACTGATTTCCCCTTCCTATGCGATAAGATTTGGTGAATTTGTTCATTTGCCTGATATCAGATGTTTTCTTCATGACTATAAACTTGATGTTAACATTAGATCTGTTTGATTTGATTAATACCTAATTTTAAACAACCCCAGAAATAAACATGAAATTTGATTCACGTGATTTGTATGAATAATTCATTGACTGGATTTTGTTCATCGGAGATTGATTTCATGTATGGAAGTTGGCTTGACTCTGAGAATGCATTGGTATTTAGCTTTAGAATTTGGCTGGTGTTCGGTCTGTTTCAAGGGCTTCACTGGCGCAACAAGGGCCATTAATTGTAGTAGTTGAGTTTTAGTTCCTAATTTTAAGTTTGAGAGCTATTTTTGTTAACGCATGATATTTTGCAAAGCTAGTTCGAAACAAGCACGTAATGATCTGTTTTATTAGTTGTTGCAATCAGTAAGTCAACTGTTGATTTTTCGTATCGTAGTTCTTCATTTCATTTTGAGTGGTAATTGTAAGTTTGCTGCCCACCCTCATATGAGGCGTTTGGAGACATATTGGGCTTCACTGTAAGCCCGCTTGTAGTCACATTTCAGACCTGTTGTCGATTGATCTTAACCCACTGTGGTATTATCTTGAGATGAATTCTTAGTGAAATAAACAATTGGAAGCAACCCACTCATTCAATTGAACAAAGGTTCTTAAGTCCTCAATATTCTGGCAGCTCACGTAAGTCAGCTTCCAAATTTACCTTGATTTGTGTACTTTATCTCCAAATAACTCCATAGCTATAGACCTCAATACACAATCTCAAATAGTTGAATAAATAATTCATGAACAACGTAGCTTGCTTTAGGCGTGATTAATAATAAATCATCGTGACTATGGCTACGGTTCCCGTGGCGTAGTCATGATGCATAATCCCAATTCGAGTGTGCGTTTCACGTGACTCGACCATAACTTCAAATGATAATAGTTATAAACATGTTGTAAATCGCGGTTGCATTTCACGTGACGCGATTCACAATGTGTACAAAAACAATAAGTGCGCGACATCGCGACTTATTTAAATAAATTCCATAAATCCTAAAAGGCAATTAGAATTCAATTAAAAGCGGTATAGAAGTGGTAACGCATAAAAGATTTTAAACATATAATAATTCAGATAATTAAGTCAAGTATTAATTGTTAAGCGACCGTGCTAAAACCACGGAACTCGGGAGTGCTTGACACCTTCTCCCGGGTTAACAGAATTCCTTACCCGCTTTTCTGTGCTCACGGACCATAAATAGAGTCAATTTCCTTGATTTGGGATTTTACAATAGATCGATGACTTGGGACACCATAATAATTATCCCAAGTGGCGACTCTAATTAAATAAATAATCCCATTTCGAATAATATTACTTTAATTGAAAAAATTCCCTATTCTTCGGAAAAAGGAGGTGTGACAAGTAGCAAGGACATGAATGACCCAATTATTAACGTGGCATATGAGTCATTTTGCTGAGTTCGTGGTATGTCTTTATGATGTGAATGTGACAAGGTCAACATTGTCTGAAAGGAGTCAACAAACATAGCTCTAACCGGGTCTTTATGTAAATATTTCCAAAACCAGTGGCATTTCCAACAACTCAGCTCTACTTATACAAGTATTAAAGGCATCACTATCAAATCTCAAATAAGAAACTAAAGCTTACCAACACAAACATCGAGCAACAATCGACGCTTCATTACATCAACATCAGAGGCAACCTTAAATCAGTTCAAGAATATGGCTGAAACTAAGTGGAAACATATGATGAATGAAGTAAACATGTCAAGAAATAGGCGTCCAATTCCAAAGAGAGGCAAAGTGAAGGTTGGTATATGTTTGTTTTAGCTCAGTCTTTGTCATCTATATTCTCTACTACTGGAAAAGGATTGGAGAGTAGCCAGATTTGGCAAATTTAGAATGTCATTGTAACTTGTGAGGATCTTGAGATTTTGTACAAGTATTAATGCTGATTTCCACTCATTCGGGCCCTTTTGTGTAGTTTTTGGGAGTTCATTAATTTATTGCTCTCTTATTGAGCAATGTTATTGGATCCTTTTCACTTAGCCAGAGTAGTTGATGCTGATGCAATTGAATATATGGCAAAATGTTATAGATAACTTGTTGAGAGGCGCGTGGGGCGATAAAAAAAATTTAAAAAAGAGCTCACCTAGCCGTTTCTAACAGGGCATTCTATGTACACCCTATAGTTTAGGTATGAAACTCGTAAAATAGTGATACTTAAGGGAGGGGGAGGAGTTTAACCTATTCACTCAAATTTTTATTCCATATGTACTGCCACTTGGAACTCTTTGGAGGAGTTTTTGGAGCGTGATGTTCGCATATGACGCTATGAAAGTTACAATATTGCTGGAATTTCTTAAAATATAATGCTTGAAAATGGACACCGTTGTACTAAGGAGTAGTCTAGCTCTTATGGGCAAAAACTGTTCCGTTCAGATGGAGTTTTTATTGTTTCTCACCCGATGTTTCATTTTACTTTAGGGCTCGATTAAATTGGAATTGGCATAGAAAAGTTCCACATCGGAGATATCTATTCCCCTTTTTGCATCATTGGGGGATATCTATTCCCATTTTTCATCTTTTGTTTTCACTTAAAGTCATAATAGCTCAAATGTGCAATATTTTATAGTTAGATGAAATGTATTCAATTGAATGACATGAAGATGCAATTTGAAATGAAGAAAGACGAATGAAAAAACGGATTATTACAATACAAGTCCTTAAATTCTAGAAAAATTTAAATTTAATGCAATTGATTTTTTTTAAAACTGAACGACTCTTATGTTGTTGTAATTTTTTTTTATTTCATTTAAATGCTTTTTCACTTGCCTGTTTAAAATTTGTGTAGTGCACACAATGAACCTTTTTATTTCTTGCATGAAATTTATGGAGAAAGTGCTGATGTGGCAAGTGGTGTGTTATAATTTGTCGTTGAATATTTCACCTTTGGAATCATTTATATTTTTATGTAATTTAGAATTTATTTCTCAAATGGTTATTCAACTTAAAATCTTTCCTACTAAAATTACTAAACTAATATTTGTAACTTCAAAATCAATGGACATATAATTGGTTACTCAAAAAATAATTATGATAAAAAAATTCATTAAATCTGACCAGAGTCAAGTAAGCATGTTGGATCAGCTAAAAATGCCAAGTTAGTTTTCCACATAAACAAATTAAGAATTAGTATTATTTCTCCTTATAATTAAAGCCATCTTCGCATTTTAGCTCGTTTGACATTTCTACTTGACCTTCTGATCATATTTATTTTTTGAGTAACCTACAATAGTTCAATGATTTTAAAGTGACAAATATTTTAGTGACTTTTGTAGAAAAAATTTAAGTTGGGTGACCATTTAACAAAATTAACTGAGTAATTCCCACATAGTTCTCTTCTAATATGACAAAAGGTATTTTTTAAAATTTGTTGTTATGTACAATTAAAAAAGTTAATTACTTTATTATAATAAAAAAATACTTTTATAACTTTATTATTACACGAGTAAAATTTATGGCCATAGATGATTTTTGGCCTTTAATTTTTCGGAATAAGCTTGTTATAAGAAAGAACCAACAAAAAGATAGTAAGTTAAAGGTACAACCCCATCAAGCGCATAGAGCCATAGACCAATAAAAAGGAACTTCGTTCCATTTTTTCAGTAGAAAGGGTTTTATGTTTAACACTGCTGCCATGGAAGTGGAAGACGAATCAGGACAGACTCCGAGGATACGAGGTAGACACATCAAGAAAAGAGCCCTCAAGAACAAAGCTCTCACTGTCTCTTTTGATGAAAAAGACCTCAAGTACCCTTCAAGAACCCTTCTTTTTTTTGTGCTATACTTGTTGTTTATGAGTTGTTAATTTGAATTTTGATAAAATTTGGGGGTGTAGGGATTTTGTGACTGGTTTTCATAAGAGAAAGAAGAAGAGGAGAAAAGAAGCACAACAGCAATTGGAAGAAGCCCATAGGAGGAAACGTATTGAGGCCCGTAAAAAGGTTTCAATCTTTATCATACCCTTTTGAATTCATTGGCTTCAATTGCAATTTAATGGCCTGATAGTGTTAAGAACTTTATATTAACTAGTAGTAAAATGGGTTGGAAGTGATGTATAGATAATTGGTGGGGAGGTAGCAGGTACCTAGTGGAATAGTTGATACCAAATTTTGGTATCGAATCCTCTGATGAACAGTAATAACAGAAATTTGAAAATGAGAAGAAGAAAAACAGAGTAGAAGAGAGAAGAGAGGAGAGAATTTAGAGATAGAGAAAAACTAAAGTTGTATTGTCATATCAAACATGTGTCTTTTCTATATTTATGTAATTGAAAATGCAAAGTAGCTGACTAATGCGCGTAACAAACTTTCCCGCCAAAAGCTGAATTACAATTTGAAGGCCTAATTGAAGCTAACTTTTAAAGTATCCTAATCATCATCCACTCAGCTGCTGAAGTGGCATCCACGTTTGTTGTTGTCCCGATATCTATATCAATAGTTGAGATGCGCGTAAGCTGGCTCAGACACCAATCACAACCACAACCACAAAAGAGTAATCCTACGAAGTGGGGTTTGGGGAGGGTGGAGTGTACGTAGATTTTACCCCTACCTTACGAAGGTAGAGATACTGTTTATGATAGACCTTTGGCTCAAGAAAAAATGAAAAAGAAGCAGAAACAGCAATTAGTAACAACAAGAAGCAAATGTGATAAGGTGATAGATTAATCGAAGCAAAGGAAATACCATATAGTAAAAGAAATCTGCGGATAAGGAGAAACGAAAATACGAGACTAATACTCAGGGGCGGATGTAGCCCTATAACACCGGGTTCAATTGAACCCATAACTTCGATGCGGAACACAAATTTATGTGTAAAAAATCACTAAAATCGCAATGAATTATAGGTATGAGCCCATAACATGAAGAATATAATGAGTTCAGTACTAAAAACCTTAAAGGTTGAACCCATAAAGTTTAAATTCTGAATCCGCTTCTGCTAATACTAATGCTACCGGCATGAAAATAAGACATGCCCGTTTAACCACTGGCTCAGACATCGCTGTTATTAAAAAAAAGTCATGTCCTGATAATGACCATCTTACAGTTTGATAATTTTGAAAAAATGAGAAGTTTTAGTTTGGGATATACTGTCCTGTGATATGGTTATTGCATGTTGTGTGTCCGTGTGATTTGGATATTGTGAAATTAGGAAATAAACTGGCATGACTTTGGTAATTTTATTGGTTGCTCTGCTTATTGCTTCTAAAGCAAATGTATGTCAAGGGTTTTAGAAGAATAAAATGGGGTTTCAACTGTACAAAAACAAAATTGTCAAATTATGACGAGACTCTCTTTCTGGGAAGTGGCAGATTTCATGAGACAAATTGAAGAAAAGGAAAAGGGAAAAACAAGCTGAATAGCAGTAGCTTAGTATAGGTAGTTTGCAATAATATGGAGTTCTAAGTCTTCAAACTTTAATGATGATGACATAGAATGAATTCTTCATTATATGATTTGCCATCTCGGCATCTCTATTGCTATACTAGGCATTTACTCATATTAAATTTAATTTTTTTTACGGTAAAGCTCATCGCCCAAAATCCCCCCTAACTTGGAGGCCAACAATGGCTTTTCGCACTTTCATCTGTTGGCGACTCAAACTCCCAGCATCATGGTTAAATTTGCTCATATTTATGAGAAAAACCTTGATGTTACTTTGTTGGTCCCATATAGCTTTGCTCGTCCTCAAGGCATACACTTTAATGGCTAAAGAAGCTATTGCATTATCTCTAGTTCTTAAGTTAAGTGGTGGTGAAGTTATACTTAAGTGAAGGGTGATTATTCAACAAGCAATCTAGGTTAATTAGGGAGTGCTCATTTCATGCATCCTAAATTGGACAAAGGGAAGGTTTATTTGGGACAGATGAAATATTAAATTCAACTACTGCGTTGTTTTTTCGCTGAACGGATAATTTCACAACCCTGGGTGTTGAAGCCATGTTTCGTCTACTGCTTTTACATATATAAAAAGAAGGTAGAATGTGTTTCCCCAGCCGGTTTCTGGTTCTGTCGAATAAGAGATAAATGTATATTACCATGATGGGAAGATGTCCTTATTTTCTCGCTTTATCCTCCTTAACCAAGTCTTCTTATAGCCAAAGTTATAAGTGTGACCTTATGCTCAATGGCTTGTTATATGAGGTCTTTGTTGTATTTTATTTATGTGTGTGATAATTACCCTCTCAACTGAATAAACGTGTATACAAAAACAACCAGTCTTAATGCCAAGCCCATCTAGAAATAAACAACGGGGACCAGTGTGAAGAAAAACATTTCAAAATTGACTTATTTTTCTGCTTTTCTTCTTCCGGAGATTAGCACAATCCAGGCTATGGTTAAATACCTTCATGGATTTTGAAGTTCCTTGCTGTTTCAGTAATTGTCTTGAATTCGCTTCCTTTGTAGTCCTTTCTTTAGCCTAGGGTATATCGAAAACAACCTCGCTGCCCTTCTAAGGTAGGTGTAAGGCTGCGTACATCTTACCCTACCCAGACCCCACTTGTAGGAATTCACTGGGTTTGTTGTTGTTTGCTTTTTTCGTAGTGGTAATCATTCTAATATCTGTTATTTTTGTGATTATGGCTAAAGTGCATTAACGCCTTTTGCGCCTTTTGATCTGCCTGGTTCTGTGACTCAATTGCACCACATTCGTTTCCAGTTCAGCTGTGCAGTTAGTGTGATCATTGAAATATTTATTACTTTTTTTTTACTATTAGCCATCTTAATGTAATCAAAATTGTCATGGTTAGCTAGCTTACTTTTTCTCTTCCCACTACAGAGAAAGGAGGAAAGAGAATTTGCCATCTTTGGTGGAGCTCCGCCTGATTCAGGCGGTGCAACCGATGAACCTGATGAGGAACTTGACGATGAAGAGGAAAATGAACCTAATGCAACCGTCTCAGGTATCTCCAAATGACATTACTTATCTGCTTTACTTCCCTCTATGCAAGAAATGAGAACTCTGTATTATAAGCATTGACGGATATGCCTTTATTGGACATGTTGTATCTGCATTATAGTTAAGTGACCAATAGGATATTAGACACTCAGCTTCGGGCATTTTCTGAGAGTTAATTTTGCTCCCGTATTCTTGGATCTTTCTTGTGCAACTATTGATAGTGGTGGTTGAAAAAACACTATTAGTTACTGGTATGTGCGATTAAGGGCAGCCCGGTGCACGATGCATCCCGCGTTCACGCATGGTTCGGGGAAAGGCTGCTTGGGGTGCGATGCAGGCAGCCTACCCTAATGCAAGCATCAATACCTGATTCCACGGCTCGAACCCGTGAATTATAGGTCACACGGAGACAACTTTACTGTTGCTCCAAGGCTTCCCCGTCTGGTATGTGCGACTGAGACTCAAAAAAAAAATAGTATTGTGTAAGGGGTTTGTCCTCCAGTCACAACGTAAAGTTAACTTGATAGTAAGGATATATGTAGCAGTTATATTAACAGTTTAAGCATGATGAGGAACTAGGAAATTAACGTCTGTATTGATATATCTTTCTTGTTAAAAAGGGACTACAACATATGACAACGGTGATGTGCAAGTTATTGTGACAACCAGTGAGATCTCTCGCGAAGAAGACTTCCCAGCTCAAGTGCCACCAATAGTTGTGCTTCAACATGATGGAGAAACTAAAAACAGCAAACAAAACATTCCGGTAATTAAGAAGAAACCATTCAAGAGAGTTGCAAAAAAGAGATCCCGACCCAAGCCGCAGAATAAGAGAGATAGGAAGAAAGGTAAAAAGAAGAACAAGAAGCACACTTGAAATCTCTTTTCAGTTAAAAGAAGAACAAGAAGCAGTAGCATTGTTTGTTTCCCTATCTTTGGCCCCTTCACCTCCTAATGAAAAAGATAGAAAAATGTCTCACCCTCTTCTAGAGATGGTCTGATCCGTGGCGCCTTTTTAGTTATGCGAATGATGTTGGTGTATTTTCTAGTATCTTGCTTATGTTATGACTAAGATTTTTTCACAATGATTAATCTGGGCAGTTAATTTTGTCAATTGATTATTTGTATAATCTTGCATTTGAATTATTCTTACTCATTACATGATACCTTGGATCTCTTTCCGCAAGGTATCATAGCTTGTGTGTTTTGAGCCATGCTAAATGTTACTGGTTTTCTACATTAGGGAATTATTGGACCGGGACCGTTGTAATTAAGCAAAAAATTGGCCTTTAACTTTTGACCCTCGCTTGTTTCATGGGCAGAATTTCTAAGGTAAAAAGTTAAAAGTGTTTCCTATGGGACAAGCTAGAGACAACACTTGTTAAACTTACTGGGGCGATTGAGACAAAAATTTAAGACGTCCACTTTGAGGATATACTTCTCTTTTTCAAATCTTGGGTCTTCCAGTCTTTCTCATCATTGGTTAAAGCTTCTCAAAAAATGAAGATGAAGTTATTAAATAATTGATAAAGGATGTTATTACATAACTCAATAATAACTTATTTACATGCCCCTTTAATTAGTCTTGCATCAAAATGTTGTACCCTTAGACAATTTCTTTTACCGATTACCTACTCGATGTTCATATTGGAGTCCTAATTGATTCGACGTAATGCTAAGTGTTCTATAACAAAATTTTTATTCGATCTTAGAACTCGAATTCGAGACCTTTGGTTAATCCTATACCCCTTACACTAATGTTCATTTTAATGCCATTCAGCGACAAGATCATTGGCTAAAGTTAAATAAATAACACATCTCACAACTTCTTATGTACTATGTTTTAGTGGACTAGTTAATTTTGGTATAACTCACTGAATAATATAACAGGATACATGTGTCCTTTGTATTAACAAGGAGAGTTAAGTCGATAATTTAATCCACGAGAAATTCATTTCGTTTCTGCAGCAGTCAAGAACGTACTAGAGGAAATGAGGAATATCTGAATTTGCTTTTTAGCGCAGTCACTTTTTTTCTTCATTTTTACAAGTAACTTTTTTGGGCAGTCATATTATAATCGGACTTAGTTTTGTCATATTAGAACAACATTTACATTGTAAATTTAATATTATGTGTTTTAATATAGTTTACGGTAATAGAAAAAGCTCAAACAATGATTCGATTAGTGCTCATAAAAATAATAAATATTCAAAATACGAACTCCTCTTTATTCTATTTGTGTTCAACCGAAGAACCAATTAAGCTCGTAACCATAGCATTGAATAAATTAGAAGATACAAATTTCATCATTTCAAAAATATTAAACTCCATTTTAGAGATTCTATATCTTCTTTTTATCTTTTAAAAAAATGAACAAGAAGCCCAAGAAGACAAAATCTAAATTTCAAGAGGACAAAATCATAGTTGCTTGACATACAAACTGGGAGCCACCTGTCCCAATAAAATGATAACATATTAAAAAGGGTCATTAGTTGTGGGAGTATTTTTAGTCCGAAAGATAATATTGTATATATTTTTATACCAAAAGATGGGCAGATGAAAAATATAAATTATTTATCAAATGATAGGAATATTTTTGACCCATTTCCATATTTTTTTAATTTTAATTTATATCTTAAATCATACTAATAATTTAACATTGTTTGGTTCATAGTGGTAAAAATCTTTTCAATAAATCCATAGTTCAAGCCAAAGAGAGGCAGCCATCAAAACAGTAACCTTTTAACAGTTAGTGCAGAATCCAATGATCTTCCTCGAACTTTCCGCGAAGCCTCTCAACCATTTCTCTCTTCTTTCAATTTTCCCGCTTTCCCCTTTCACTTTCATCTTCAGTTTCTTGCTTTATTTTTTCCTCCTTTTAATCTTCTTTTTGCCGTTAAGAATCTGATTCCCTGGGAGCTTAAAACAGTTAAAAAATCAGATCCCAATAAGAGAAAAATGCAGAGGAGTTACATGAGTGGAGAAAAACGTACAATTGATGCTAGTACTAATGAGGAAAGTCAACCTGATAGGAAAAGACCAGCTCTTGCTAGGTATTTTACCATATTTCCTTTTTTTAATTCATCAAGAACTATATATTTAAATTATACTCTCTCGTTTTTATTTATGTGACAAAGTTTGACTTTTGATAGATGCAGTCTTAAATATGTCATAACAGTGACTATAATATAAAATGAAAAATTTATAAATAAAATCTATTTATAGAAATGTATCATTTTCTGAAACAGACTAAAAAGAAACGCGTGTCACATAAATTAGAACAAATGGAGTAATATTTTGTGTCATATATTGGGTATTAGTAAATTGGGACAGAAGGGGTAATAGTTTGTGTCATATATTGGGTATTAGTCTATGTTAGATGGATTTTACTTGTACACCAATGTAGATTATGCGCCAGGTAACATGGGTTTTAGTGATTTTTTTTAAGGTCAAGGTTTTAGTGCTTCTTTCTTTCTATATATGTGCTGAGCTATTTATGGCAATGGTGACCCCTCATTCTATAACATAGGTCCGTCTCTGGTAGCATAATGGGATATGTTTGTGGTATTACCGTGAAGACCCTGCGTAACATAGCGAGGGAGTACTCAATTTGATGGTTATTTTTCAATTGAGGGAATGAAGAGTTAATTTTGGTGTGATAACTAGCTTAACGTTTTTGGTTCTCCTAGTGAAAATTGAAGCGTGTTCTCTTAAGTTCAATTTTTATTGCATTACTGGGACCTATAGATATGGTGCAGTACTTGAGAAGGTTCATATTGCTGTCTGCTGTATTATGGCTCAATTTGTTAAGAGTAATATATGGACTGGTGTTTCCTGAGGAAGTCAATTGAGGTGATCTGAGCTAAATTTGTGACCGTTGCCACCTTTATTGCCAGTATCTTGCAAAATGGATATGGCAATTGCCACAGTAATAGCGGTGTAGTAGGTCAGTTCCCATAGGTTAATCAAAGTTTGAGCTTTCAACTCAACTGCCAATAGATTAGCCGAACCTCGCAAAGAGATTTATGTTAGCCCCTCTAATTTGCAACCGCGAATGTACATGAGCATCTCAAGCACATCCGTTTGAATCCTCAAAACACTTTGGCATCTCAGACACACCAATTTGAAGATGCTTCTCTCACAGACCTATTGTATGTGATGGTCAATCAACTTTATTACTTTTATTGTCACCATTGAGACTACAAATTTTTTCATTTTAAAAATCTCTACTTCCGTTCATAGTCTTTTTTTTGGTTTTATTTTTTAATTTTAATGCAGAACAGTATACTAATAGGTATTGGATGTAATATCCTGTGCTTCAATAAAACATGAAATTGTGTGAACTGGATTGTCTTATTCTTCTCTGAGAAGCTGAAGTTCAAAACCTATTGTAGCCGAGCTCATCTTTCTGTGTGTCATTTGTGGTAATTATAGCATCATTTATTGAAAAGTACATGGTTAGTGCAGTGTTATTGTTGAAGCGCTAAAGGTGGACAGTCTGCAGAAACTTTGCTCATCACTGGAGCCAATTCTTCGGAGAGTTGTAAGACTACTAGGTCTTTTCTAAATTCTCTTGCCGCTCATTGAATGTTAGGAACCCTTTCTTTGTAATATCTAATTATTACCTTAATACATGGAAATTTCAACCACACATCAGTTATATCCTGTAAAAATATATATCTGCTGGGAGCCTGGGACAGTGTATCTAATTCCAGTATGAGTTGGAAACTATCAGATATTCACTTCCTAGTGTATAAGAAAGTTTAAAACTAAAAAAATGAAAAGCTGCATAAATTATGTTTAGACAAGCTAAATAGGACAAGTTATAGATATTTGAGCTCGATGCACTGCTTAGAATTGATGAGTTTTATTGCAAGGGATTATGAGACCATTTGTCTGATAACGTCACTGTTTTTGATTGAACTACAGCTGTTGGTAATCTCTACAGAAGTTCTCTCTCTCTCTCTCTCTCTCTCTCTCTCTCTCTCTCTCTCTCTCTCTCTCTCTCTCTCTCTCTCTCTCTCTCTCCTCTCTCTCTCTCTCTCTCTCTCTCTCTAATCTCTATGTTAGTTGTCTCTCTCTCTCTCCCTCCTTCCATCCTTCCCCCTCTCCCCCCGCGAGAGTGGTCGTAATATCTTTGCCTATCAGCACGGTTTAAATGCTTCCTCAATATGCCATTTACTCAAGTTTTTCTTTCTTATTTGACATTTTTAAGTGTGTCAGATGTTCTTTTATGTTAGACACAATAGGTAACTTCAGTTGGTCTATGAGAAAATGATTTGTTGATCTTAATTTCAAGGTTTCATTGTGAATACTGTTTGGATTGCTATTTTTATTCATGTACTGATGCATGGTAGTAAGTTTATTTACCAGTCCATGAGCTCCTATATTGGTTGGAAAAAATACTCTAGTGTGCTTATCTTTCCTGTTTTTGGTATTATTGCAAAATGCATGATCTTTCTTTCTTGTTGTACCTGAACAAGATGTCTTCTAGATTTAACGGTTCTTGTATCATTATTTCTGGTTATTCCTGTGTGCCCACCAGGTTAGTGAAGAAGTGGAGCGTGCATTGGCAAAACTTGGCCCCGCTAAACTTAATGCAAGGTATGGCTCACACACCTTCATTAGATGTTTCAGAACATAGGTTTGACTTACACACTATTTTCTAGGTATTTAACAATTGATCCATTGGAGATCATTTGACTCAATCTTGGAGTTATGAATGTTGCCTGAAATAGAATTGAGATGCGAACTTCAGAAGTTGGTACACTAGAGAGCTCTGCCTGGTTTCCGTATTAAATTTAGGTCAGGCTGGCACCATTTATTTTATTTTATTATTTTTTTAAAATAATGATGTCCAGAATTGCACCAACTATAGGAATATCAAGCTGCTGAGTCACACCATAAAAATTTGGGAGAGGGTAGTGGAGAGGAGGATGAGACGGAGTGTGTCTATTTCGGAGAATCAGTTCGGATTTATGCCGGGGTGGTCTACTACATAAGCTATCCGTCTTGTGAGGAGGTTGATGGAGCAGTATAGGGAGAGGAAGAAGGACTTCCATATGGCGTTCATTGACCTAGAAAAAGCCTACGACAAAGTCCCCATGGAGGTTC